CTAGCTCTGACTTCCTTGAGAAGCATTTCCATCATTTGCTGCATCTCCATTTTCTAGCAGTAAAATATTCGATGCACAACAATTCGTATGTGGCGTCTTTAAGTTCATAAAAATTCTGACACCAAATTGTCACGTGTCTTGAGATCGAATCTCGTCGGTCACGTGTGTAAGTTCAAATCCCACTTCTGACACCAGTTGTCACGTGTCGTGTTGCTAGCCACGCTGTCCGGAGTTGTTGACTGCTGCCTAGCAACCGCGATATCCCTCGGTGACGTCACCGCTGTTGATTCGCTTTGCATAGCTTCAAGGTTGCGGGGACTCGGCTAACGTCGGCTCCGCTCGTGACGTCACCGTGCGTTGCATAGCTACCAGGATGTGGGGTGATTACTCGCCTATTACGCGAGCGCTACGTTACAGCTACGTGCAGCTGGGGGGGGTAGGGGTCAACATGTCACAATACATTAAAGTTACTATTGCAGTATCAGTGGCCCTTACAAACACAGTGATGAATCTTAAGTTTCCAGAAAAGGCAAGGAATTTATTGCCTATCTATGGAACTACTAGCTTCTCAAGAAGAGCTCTGCTCCATGGACTTAGCTAATGCAGCATCATGTTATGAGTAGCTTTCATAGTCATACTGGTAACAGTTTGCCATGTCATTGTAGATATTACAGTCTTGGAGATCCAAACAACAAATTTCACTGCCATATGCGTGTACTAAGAATGACAAATCTTCATGCTGTGAAATTCACTTTGTAAACAATGCCAAACATTTAAAGTTGAGGTTGAAAATTAATAATATTTTAATAATGAACTTTGTGTGAAGTCCAAGGTCCAGAAACATCATTCACTGTGGTCCCAGTATGGTCCTCATTGTTTAATCATATACGTGCATTCCAATGTCTCTGCGGGTATGAGTATTTATAACATGGCTAGAATTTCTGTTGCAGAAATCTCTTCAGTTTTTGTTTTTAGGGGGTTCAAAGTGAGAGCATTACAAGGAGACTTTTGGATTTACGAACATAAAGATCACACAGGGTCAAAGGAATGGATATGATTGATATTCCAATACTGATGTTTGTTTTTAGGCCAAAAAATTATTTGTCAGAAGTGCTTTGTGAGAAGGTATGTCATTGAGAATCCACATATCAAGCTAAAGATGTAGTCTTTTGTTGAAGAATGTGTCCATAAACATTTGAAATCATCATGACAGAATGCTATGCCTAGTAAATGTTTTGGATTAATACGTTT